GCAACGTTTAAAAGCTCGGGCAGAGCCGGGGCGCTGGGTGCTCCGCTCCCTCTGCTGCAGCCATCCCGGCCCAGCCTCTGAAGAGACCCTTCTCCTCGCTTCGGCGCAGCTTAGGAATGGCTCCGTCTCATTTACTGCTAGCATAGACGTTTCGGTACAAAAAATTCCTCTTCGAGCGTAAGAGGGGTTTCTGCACTTACGTTGTTCTCGTTTTCATGTTTGTCTTTTTCATGAATGTGAATTCCTAAAAGTAAGTCTGCATGCAAGAGGTTCTCCCACCGTTTTAGGAGCTGGGAGATACCTAAACATCTGGAGCCTCCTCTCTGTCTTCTAGACTACTTCTAAAGACCTACCTCTGGGTCTCTTAACATCTCACGGTGTGACTTAGGGCATGGAAAAAACAGTCCAAGAATTTTGTCTGCGGTGTTGCAAAGTCCCACGCAGTCCCTCATCTTTCAACTGTGTTTGAAAAAAATATTTCAGGTGATACCTCTGGTTGTGGTTGCTTGCTCTTAAGAATAATTCAGTTTCTGATCAGGAAAACAAGGTTTAGAGTATAAAAACTTAAAATTATAGTATTTCTGCCATAATTCTGGCGTCAGGTCAAAAAATTGATTCCTCCTTCGTAAGATTTCAGCTGGGAATGTCTTTGAAATTTTATGAATATTTTTAGATTTTAACTTTTCAGTAGAAAGCTAAGTTCATAAATGAAGGAAAATCACCGTTTTAAAATTGATTTTAATAACTCAACAACAGGCTTATTAAGGCTGTGTGCATACATAAATGTAAGGGGTTTTTATAGCTCCTCTATATCACAAGAGAATAATGTAAGTATAATGTAAGAGTAGTGTAAATTTTTTAGCAAAAATTATTTTGAAGTTTGAAGTTTGATTTTATTTATTTTATGCAATTTTATCAGCTGTTAAGTATTTAAATTGAATTAAGCATCATCTTTGGCATGTTGCAGAACTTTGCAAGGGAAGATGGTGAAGAATTTGACAATTAGAAATAATGAATGAGTTCATTTAAGAAAAAAAACCAAACCAATCCTAAACCCTTAAAGCTAATGTGTTCAATAAGTTAGTACTTATTCTGAGGCAAAGTGAGAAAGAAAAACCAGCTTCACTGGTGTAGGATACTGCTCAAACTAATGTGTGGTGGCAAGTGCAACAAGAAGCCTTACACACTCAGTATGAATGCCCCTGTTCCCAGAAGCTGATACAACATCTTTTGAAACCTTTTTTTCCGACAGACTGCTTCAGAGAAAAGTGCAAGCAGCGATGGGTGTCTGTTTTGCTGTATCTTTAGATTACTACTGTCAGAACCGGTTAACAGATGAAACATTTAATAACTGGTGACGTTAAATGAACTTTTGGCCTGTTTCACCTGGCCCTATGTTTTGTATCACTTTTGGGTATGTTTTCCGTTCCACATCAACTCAAACGAATTCAAGGAGACAAACTGGATGCTCATTTATTTGTTTTGAATGCAGTTGTAGGTTTCATTGGCTTTTTTTAAACGTCTTTTGAGAAGCAGAATTAGCAGAATTAGATAGAGTTCAGTCCTGCAAGCTCCTGAGTTTGCCAGAAATCAGGAGGGTTCAGGATGTCCTGCTAGATCGTGGAGACTTGGGGAGCACAGAGTGTCACCTGTAAGACAGGGTTGTCAGAGTTACAAAGTAACCTCCATTAAACCCAGCTGTCTGACTGGAGAAAAAAAATCAAGTGAACCTTCGAGCACACAAGCCCATATTGAGGTATTTTTCAGCAATAATGTGTATAATTCAGTTAAATGGTAACATTAGGTAAGAGTTAGACCCATTCCTCAAGGGATTTGTATGGGAGTTTAGAAGCCTTATTGAAATCTGAATTTGGCTTGTACTTCATCCAAAGGTGTGAAAAACTTAGCACTTTATACATGAGCTAGTAATAAGAGACTTTCTCCTACACAGCCCAGATCTTCAGATGTTTTCCTCTGCAGACCCCTCTCTCTTAAGTTCGCCCCCAACTTTTCGAAGCACATCCTTTTTGTCATCTTTTGATTTCAAGTGGCCGCGTGGCTCGACCTTCACAATGTGTGTACTAACTTTTAAAAATCTATCTTACACTGAGTCGCCAGAGCCTGCTCCTCTTGCCTGGGCGTTACGGCATCCTTCCCCGGCGCACCAGGGCAGAACTCATCCCGCTGAAGCCGGATGGGTTGCGGTCAGCGGAGAAGTGACCTGGGCACCGGGCTGTGCCTGCACACCCGGTGTCAGACTGCTAAATTGTAGTCAGCTGAACCCCATCCAGGGAGTGAATGTCCTTTTACTGTCACTGTAAATATGAGCTCTTAATATGTCTTTAGGAATGCAGGATGTATGTGACTGTGTATAAAAGATCTACATCTTATTATTTATATTTTGAGCATAATAGAGATACATATATAAAGTCAGTCATGTTTGCTAAGGGGATTATAACCTTTGGCTTTGTCTAACAGCAAGGCTGTGATGCTTTAACGATAATATTATTCAGACCCTTTGCCTGTGATTATTCTGGTGACGTTAATTCCCACATAGAAACATTTGTGATGGCATACTATAATCTTTGCTACAGATTATCTAGGTGTAACCAGTTCAGCTTGAAAAAAAAAAATTGCATCTGTAACTGAAATTAATCTGCATGTAAATAAGACTTAAGTCTCTTCAGATTTTGAAGCCAGATTCTGCAATATGCTTTGCAGAAGGGAGGAGCAGATACAACTGACCTTAGTTGCATTTCTCAATAAACAGTCATGTGCAAACAGATTAGACAAAACTGTCTTTGAAGTGATGGAAAAAGAATAGAATAGTTTGGTAGAAGCTAGGGCGTAAGCAGAATTATTAAAAATAAAATCTACAAATGATTACTTACTGAGTTTATTTCAGTGTATGTCTTCTTTTTCCACGAGTTCTTCCTTCTGAAGCCCTCCTTCAGCACAATGCCACCATGCTTTCTTCCTACCAAAAAAAAGTGCAGCTATTTGCCTTTTCAGTCATACAATTAGTGACTGAGAAACGCTCAGCATTGTATTTTTTAATCAGTTGTTATTTCATTTGTGTTTTATTCCACTAAACTTTAACTCTGTTCCTTTAAACAGTTATGAGTAAATTTAAAGTATATTGATGGTTAATCCCAGTTAGTTTCCTTCTATAACCTGCAACCAGAATAGGACAGGGGATATTTTGTTTCAAAATGGTGGAAAGAGGATTTCAAATGTTCTTTCTCTTAGATATGCTACCTGAGACACTTACCAATTTAAATTACCATGTACCTCCTAAATGGGGGAAAAAAGCAGAAAGCATCAGCGTTTCAGATTGTCAATGACCAAACGGTAGAAGGTCTGCAAAGTGTACATATTTACTCATCAGAAGAGAAAGTAAAGACAGACTGTATACATTAGAGTTCAGAATCACTGCAATAATGAGACATATTTAGCACAGTGAGTTTGTGGAAGTAGGGAAATAGTAAGAAGATATACTTGCTGTAAACATTCACCATGACACAAAGATCTGATAAAAGAAAAAAACCAAACAACCTCTGTGTCTTCCGTAAACTCTGAACTCTCATTTTTCCAGTTGGTTAACACATCTTTTCCTACAAGACAATTTCCAAAAAGCAGTAGTTAGGAGTAATATAGAAAATGCTTCATTTTAAAATGTTTGTAATCATTCTAGGAGCACATGACTCATGAAAGATAAGTTTTCATATTTTTTAGTTCAGCAAGCTATGGGCATCATGCATTTTGCACCGAGGAGTGGAAAATCCTACATATAGATATGTATATACACACACTTTACATATATCCATCTCTGTTTTTATAGAAATGCCTGTGCAGAATTTGCCTGCAACCATGCAGAAGGCTGGCTAAGCAGTTACGCATCCACATTAAGCACTCTGCTATTGCTTCACAACACGCACACACAGAGTATATTCACTGCGTGCAGGTATACAAATTCATGTCTGTGGTGGAAGAGATATGTGAAGCTTTGGGTGTTTGGCTGCTTTATAAATAATGAAGGAGAACATCTGTCCACTGGTAAATGTGGGAGAAGTGAAATTGATATCACAGCTCTGCCAGCCTTTGTAAGCACATGGGAGCTTCAGGGACTGCGCTTGAAGTTAGTCTTCCTGGGTAAAGAAATACTTTCTTCTCCTCCTAAAATTTTCATCGTTTTAATTAGCCAAGACTGAAGCTTCACTTGGTGTGGATTGACTTAATGTAGAGGAAGATACAGTTCTTCTTCTGGGAAGCTGTTGCAAAAGATATGTCTTACCATGCATTTTCTCACCTGAGCAACTTCGCTAGAAAGGTGCAAATGGCCTTCTCCATGCTAAACTGTGAGCTAGGGAAAAACTGTTTAGAATAGCCAAGGAAATATCAACAAACTGATTTTTCTGTTGAAAATCAGAGACAAAACTGAGAAGTGTTTGTTACGGTTCAAAAAGGGAGGAACTGTTAGTCAATTATGTACGTACTTTTTGGTCTTGGTATGGAAAAGGTTGTTTTGTTTTTACCATTTGTTTTCTTCTCTATTTTCAGAAGGACACCCATTGTCAGAAGAAACAACGGTAGCCGCCCTTCGGTAGAAGGGCTGCCCATTTGCTCTGAAGGAAGAGACCATGCTAAAGCATCTTTTTAAGATACTTTCCGTTCTGAGCCTCAGAAAAGATCATCTAACATGATCCTGGGTTTAAATAATAAAGGTGAATTTGAGGTGATTGTTTGCTTGGCTCTGCTGTGCTGGAGTTAGCTGCAGAGCTGACCACTGGAAAGGCACAGCGCAGGAAAATACGCCTGTGCTGCAATACAGTATTTCACACCTGCATAACCATCTAAGAGGTACCTCAGCTGAGTGAAGATCGCAAGACTCCTGAGATGATTTGACCTGTGATGGAGGGACGCTTCTGGGAAACTGCTGGAGGACTTCAGCACAGGGCACCTGGCGTCTCTGCCCTCACCCATCTGTGTCAAAGTCCGAAATGAACCACACTTGGACATACAACCTGAGCTTTGGTGCACCTACAGATCCTGTTGAGCCAAGGGCTGGACTCTCACGAAATGGGCACACAGTAGTGGCTGTTTTTCTTGGATTTATCTTGGTTTTCGGTTTCTTGAATAACTTGATTGTCCTCATCCTCTTCTGCAAGTTTAAAACCCTCCGTAACCCAGTCAACATGCTCCTCCTGAACATCAGTATCAGCGACATGTTAGTGTGCATCTCAGGCACCACCCTCAGTTTTGCATCTAACATCCATGGCAAATGGATTGGAGGGGAGCATGGTTGTAGGTGGTATGGCTTTGTCAATTCCTGCTTTGGTAAGAGTTCAATGATAATTCTTTTGTCTTATTCTTTTTAACACTGGTGCGTGAAGCAACTTGGTCAGTGAGCTCACTGCTGCTCTATGGTAAACAGAAGGATGCTTTGATTGCCTTGTTATGGTCAAACACAAGTGAAATGCATGGTTTAAAACATTTTAACAAGAGACCTCATGAAAGAGTAGCACAGATCTGATAAATATTTCCTGACATACCCCATTTTTTGAAATTACTTGTTTTTAAGAGTTAAAAATGGCATCTAGAAAGAGGCAAGCCACTGAAAGGAGTTTGACTAAGTGTATGAACATACATAACACTTCCCTCTTTTTCAGGAAAATCTGTGCCAGTGCTGAACTACAGGCCCCTCAGTGCTGCTTCTGTCATGAACAAAGCCTCCTGAAAGTACTCCATTTACCATTTGTAATTATCTGTCAATCTGTAATATGAATTCCCTCATGTCCCAGATAATGACAGTTTTCATCATTAGATGCTTTCGGTTCTCCCCCAAAACAAAATCTTTATTTTAAAATTACATGCTTGCAGATTCAATAGCAAATTAAGTCATAGGATTAGATTTGTCGGAAATAGTCAAAGTGTGCATCAAAGCCGCAGTAAAATAGTGTTCAGTGTTCTTCTCCTGTCCAGACAAAACTTTTCCTGCAACCAGCTTTTGCACTGCTAGATTTAAGTGTTTTAACTGAAAATTATTTTAATTATTAAAAAAAGATAAAGGAAAAAGCACAGTCAAAGGGCAGCCTTCATCCCTCCAAGGTGGCTTTAAGAATTAGATCACCAAGCAGTGACCCTTTCTGCATTTATTCCTATGTTCAAAAAAAGGTCCACTAAAGCATAAACTGGCCTGTGGGTGCACATCTAGACGTGATCCTTATCCCACCCAGACCAGGGGACCTGGCGCCGCTCCCTCTTGCTGTACGTCCTTGCTTTGGTGCCTCCCGGCCACCAGGACAGGACCGAGCTCATCCCTGGCTCTTCTCCCACCCTGGAGCTGCGGTGCATCTCGTGCAGGCACTTTGGCCCGAGACGTGCTCCCGCAGCCCTTGATGTAGAGTCAGGCTGCAGATCCAAACCCACGTTTTCTACCTGAATTATAAGCTCTCGCTGCTTCCAATGGTGTGGTGTCTGGAACCCTTCCCTTCCTCAAACGTATGCTCCGCTGGTGACAGTTAACTCAGCCTGGCAGCTTCCCCTGGGAGACTGCTGCTTTGCCCAAAGTGAGCTCTCAGGAGTTAGCAGTGTTGTATAATATAAAAGGACTGATTTTGGCCATTCCAAACCAGACCTCATTATCAACAATGCCTTGGCTTGTTTTGATGGGCTGTTTTTGGTTTGGTCTGTGCAGAGCAGAACAACATGTCTTCTCCTTCCACGTTTCATTTCCGTTTTTGTGAATTTTATGAATTCCAACATTTCAGTAAGTAGTCTTCTCAGGGAGAAAGAGGTTAGGACTGTTTTTTCTCCATCCTTTGATTTAGCCTCCTTTTTTTTATTTAGGGGTGGGAGGGGAGAATAACATTTGAAGGGAGGGGAAAAAAGGTATGCGTTTAAGGGATTAGAAAAAACATATGTTGAAGGTGCCCTTCGAGCCTGCTGGCTTGTCAGGATACCTGTGTGTTACCACCCCAGTAACTGTGGAATTACACCAGAAAACAGATGAGTTTGATAAGTTTCTCCTAGGGTGACTCGCTTATGGGATAATTCTTCTAAGTCAGCTCTTCTGTATAAATCAGATGGATGGCAGGAGTGCAGATTTGTGTGCTGTTGTGACACCTGTGTTCATGTGAGAGTTTCTGGTGTAATTCTTAAAATTGCTTAGATCATCGAGGAACAAGCAAGCAAACAAAACCACAAAACCCAGATTGCGAAAGGTGACCTTAGCTCCTCTGAGTGGTGTTGGTGCTGTCAGCAGGGTGTCCTGGGCGGCTGAGGCAGCCTAAATGCAGGTAGTTACTGACCTGTGCACATGGACACTTCTCGTGACAGAGTTAAAAAAATTCTTTTGCAATTCTTTTCTCGAAGTCTTGCAGTGCTCACAACATTTTTTCTTTCACTAGTGTGTATAAAGGGCATACTGAAGAAGTTTGCTTGCAGAGTTATAATTAAAAAATGTTCACTGGAAAATAACATGAGTAAAAGCAAATCATAGTAGCAGGTTGCCTAACATTTATATGTCTCTATGGACAGATTCCATCTGCTGATAAATACCATTATTCATCAGGTTTTTTGAATTTCTGTACTCCAAAGTGTGCTTAAAAAGAGCTACTGTAGGTTTGCAGTGTGTTGATGGCTTTTCCAGGTCTTCGTAGTACTTGAAAACAAACTGGTTAGGTATACGATTTTTTTTTTGCATTCAGTGCGTGCTATAAGCATCACAGACTGAACGAGGATCCATTTAATGGAATGGTTAATTTTTTTTATGGCTATTGAAAAGTGACATGAGAGAGTTGTGAGCTTTTTATTGAGACTTGCAGGTATTATTGCTAAAAGAAAAAACAAATAGCATCTCATTCATTGTAGGATTATTTTCCTTGTCTTCTGGTGACTTTGGAAAAATTGCATAAAACTTATCAAAGTGACTCAGAAACTCAAGTGGCGTAAAATCAAGTGTATTCTGTGTCATAAGCTGGTGGCTTAAGACCTCACTGATTGGTGCAGCGTAGTTACTGAGGATAAGGAAGCTTTTTGTCAGCAAGAGGATTTTTTGGCACCTAAGTAGTCCAGTTTAGGTCATAGCCTTTGGCCTGATCACTGTGACTACCTTGTGAGTGGCAAAGCTGATTAGATTTATAAACATAAATGCAAAAGCCACAAAGACTACAAAATACTGTATGAGGCTATGGTATAAAAGGAGCATGTAAGAACACAGAAATGGCAAAACTGTATAGGCCGGGAGGAGAACATTTCTTTGTGTTATTTACACTTTCTTGCAATCCCTTATCTATTCTTAAAAAAAAAAAACAACAACTTTCTATTTGCTAAAAATTAGCTTACCCTCCTTTTTGCCTCATGTCTGATTTTGGCCTGTCAAGGCTAAGAGGAATGGTCCCAATGCTCAGGGTGCAGAATAGAGATGTGTAGTAGGAAAAGTAATTAAGAAGAACTGAAGTTCAACATCAAGCTTTGTAAGAATAAACACGTCAATATTCTTATCTGCTCCTTTTTTTCTCACGGGAGAGATCCTATCCTACTAGGATAAACATCAGTATATAGGGCCAGGATTTCGGATGATGTTGCAGTAAGTTCACTGGCTTCAGCAGAATTCCACACTCTTGTACCAAATGAAGGTATGTACCTTTTTTTTAAAACTGCAGTATTTTCTGAATGTTTCCTTCATGAAGAAATTTTAAGCGGGCAACTAATCTTCATGACTTGGTGAGTATTTGATGATGTGTAAACCACACCTGAGCCAACTTCAAACTGCTGAAATATTTTAAAAGGCTTCTGAGAAGGACTGTATTTTGGTGGTTATTTTTTTCCCCCTCTCGTTTTGTGATGCTATGAAAGCCTCCTTCTTCCTCTTTAAAACCAAATTGAGAGTGAAGGTGTTACCCTCCAGGTCTGTGGCCTGGATGAAACCTGAGCCAGTGAAAGTAGGAAGCTGAGATTCTTTTCTCTAAAGTGTCTTACCCTTTTGAAAATCACGTAACTGTTGCCCTGGGAGGTGGTCTGGAAAGCAGATCTGATTCTCCTCCAAGCAATATCGACAGTGCAATGTACATTGATGTTGCTTACTGTGGAATCGAGCTGTAAGTTCTTTACTGGGAAATCCATTGCAGGCACTTAAAAACCGTGACCCAAGAGCCAGCGCCAGGGGGTTGCCATGGGCACAATGGAAAAAAATATGGACAAAGTGTAGGTGTTTGGTTTATTTACTTGCTGCTTTCCACACGTCTGCTTTGTGATTTCAAACCATTCACAGAAAGCAGGAGTTTTAGAAGCTAATGGGAAGTGCAGATGCTGATCGATAAGCATGTAATGGGGATTCTAAGGAGAACATTAAATATCGTGAGACCCGCTATGCAAGCGTAAGAGCTGTTGGGTCTTGATCTGGGGGAGCATTAGGGATGGAGCTAGAGGAGGAACAGCATGGGCTCTTCCCAGTGTAAATGATTTTACCCTGGTGCTTGTGCCTATTTGCAGTTTTGTCAAGTAGGTCACTGCAGTGGAAAATGCACATGTCGCTGGATTGGGGAAACGGATGGATTTGCTAAATTTGCTCCCATTACCCACCGCTTAGCCACGGTTTGACAGGCTCATGGTTATACATTTAAGCAAACATGGAAAGGGACACAGGGACAGGACACATTTTCCTAGCTGAACTCTGAGTAAACTTTGCAAGCAAGCTGAAATAAGAACTGTTAAATATATCATGAAATGATTAAGCATTAGATTTTAATTTAGGAAAAATACATTATTTAGTAACACACTCCCATAGAGACCATATATACACAAAGTAATATGCCATCCTAAGATGAAGTTTGTCACGCAGCTTTGGCCATCTCGCACGTAATCTCTCCAGTGCCTTATTAAACACTTCAAATCCCCTGACAGATTAAAACTTTCAGAAACATTTCATCTTTTCCCAAGATACTTGCACTAATGTAGACTTCCCAAACATGTAGGACAGGCAGAATTTGGGCTCAGATGTCTTCTGGAGTTCATTTTCAGAATCCTTCATATAAGGATTAAATATTAAATAGATTAATACATGTGGGAAAGATGAAGCTTTCTCTGGCTCAGGAAATCCAACACTAGATTCTAACGCTGGAAAAGTTTCAAGGCACATCACTAGCAAGGATATTTTTGTGACTGTTGAACTCTTAGCTCATGTTTTCAAGTGTCTGCTGGTTGTTTTCTCTTCCTCAACCTTCACGGTTGTTAAAATACCTGGCAGTTTGTCTGAGAAGTTGATTCCAGTATTTCATTTTAAAAAATGGATTCAGATTAGTGTTGTGTAAGTGAACATCACTATATGAGAGGAC